TTTTATTGCATTTTAGTTTTTGATGTTATTAGATTAAAATGCATTAAGCTCTTAATTTTAGTCAAAAATTTCTCGGAACCTGATTTTCCTAGAAATCCTCCCATATAATATATGGAATAACTAACTAAATTAAAACTTGTCGAGTCGAGTAGTTAAACAAATATAAGATAACCCCCTATAGTTTAAATTATTATTTCCATTAATTTTTTTGTCTAAAAAATGAAATGATAGTAAAAAAAGTTTAAAATTTTGTGTATACAATATGTTAAAATCTTTCAAATTCAACTAATATTTTATATATTTAGATACATTTTAAACATCTTTTTTATAAAGTAAATAACTTTTTAATAAAGCTCCAATCAAGTAATAACCTATAATTTAATTAAATTAATAGTTAATATATATCAAATCAAAAAATAAACTTTAAATTTTGAATTAACTAAACTAATTAAAATTTCACTATATATTAAATTAATATATAAATTTAAAAAATGAAAGTTATACCATTTTAACTTAAAGATTTATAAATTCAAAATATATTATAATAGTTTAAATAATCAAATTAATCTTTAAATTATTAATATTAATATAAATAGAATAATATTTTTAAATAAATTATTTTAAAATAATTAATTTATTTAATTAATTTTAATTTATTTAATATTAAATAAATTTAATAATTAACTTATTTTCTAAATATCATTATTATTATATTATAATTAAATTTTTATTTAATTAAATAAATAATTTTATATTTTTATTAAATATTAATACTTTTAAAATAAAAAAATATATATATTATATAAAAAAAAATATAAATTAATTGATTAATACTATGTTAATTAATTGAAATTTTAGTAATTTAACATTAATTTTATATATATTAAAAAAAAATAGTTAATATATCAAATAATTTAATAAAATTAAATATTTTTTATAATTTTCTATAAAAAAATATTACATTTTATAATATTATATTTATTACATATTTAAAAATTTAACTATAATAAATATATACTAATCAAAATCAAAAAAATCAATATATGATAAATTAGCCTAAAATAGGCAAATTATCAAACATTAGCCTAGCTGATTAATATATATCAAGAACTAGCTAAAATTTAACCAAAATTTGATCTATCTTATTTATAACCAATTGGAATACTGATGGCTAATTGATATATATTAAAAATTAGCTAAATATATTAAAATAAAATAAATTTAGAAATTTTAAATCATAAAATTCATCTAAAAACATTTAATTTATTTTTATAAATAATATTTTCTATTAATTAGATTAACAGTTAAATATTCTTTTATATTTTGCTAAATTAAAATTTGATAAATAATATTGAATATTTAAAAAACTTGTAAAAATAAAGTTATTTATAAAAATAATTTTATTTATATTATTAATAATAAAAATAAATAATTTTTAATTTACTTTAAATCCTAATATATGATAAAAAGTATTATTTTAATTTATTTTAAGTTCATATTAAATTAATATATTAATAAATTATTACTGATTTATTTAAATCATATATTAATTTAATTCATAATAAAAATATTATTTCTGATTTTACTTTAAATCATTATAGTATTATTTCTAAAATTTATTTTAATATAATATATTAATAAATTGTTTTTAATTTATTTTAAGCTATATATATAATAAAAGAATCATTTTTAATTTACTTCAAATCGTATTTAATACATAATTAAAGTATTAATTACATTGATAAATTATTTTTGATTTACTTTAAGTCTTATATTAATTTAAAGTATTATTTAATATACTTTTTTCTGATATATATAAGAATATTTATATAATTAAGCTTAATTTTTTTACTTTTTAAAAATAATTTTAACTCAAACTTTATCTTTTTATAATTAAATTATATTATTTTAAATTTTTTTTTTTTACAGTTAAATTATTAAAATATTATTAAATGCTAATAAAAAAAATTATTTTAAAAATAAAAATAATAAATTAATTTTTTACTTTTTTATAATAAAATTTTTAATCATAAAAATAACTAATATCAAAATATATTATTGAAATTAGTTGAATAGAAAAGATCATAAATTAAATTTATTAATCAATCAATCAAATTTTTAAATGATAAAATAATTATTTACTTTTTAAAATAAAAAAAAATATAAAAATACATCTAAACAAAATTATTTAAAGAAAAGCTGAATATAAATAAATATTAATAAAATACAAAAACAATATAAAAAATTTTAGCTTTTATTAAAATTTAGATAAAAATCAGTAATAAGTATGTTAACGTTAACTGTAATTAAAATTTTTGATAATTTTAATGATGTAGAATCTAATATATTATTTTGACTTATTTTGATTTATTTATTTATAATTATTAATAATATATTTTCTTTATTTCTATAAAGAAAATCAAAAATTAAATAATTTTTTAACAAATATTATAAGAGGATTAAGAAATTAGAATAAAAAAATACTGATTTCTTGAAGAAGAATAAAAAATTAGAAGAGAAAAACTGATTTCTTGTTAAAATTTATTAAAGAGTTTAACAAGAAATATGATAATTTATAAGTAAGGTAAAATTTGAATATTAATTTTATAATATTAAATAACTAATTATTTTTTTTAATATTTAAGATTTGATTAATTTGTGAAAATATAATTACTCAAATTATTAAAGTAGTTAAATAATAGACTTTCTGAAAAATAAAGAAAAATTAGTAAATTATTATCAAATTAAAAAATTATTCAGTTTATTATACTAATAATAAAATAGAATTATTATAAAATAGTTTTAAAAATGATGATAATTTAGTAATAGAAAAGATTGATGCAAATAAAAACCAGAATATGTTTAAATTTATGTTTAAATATTTTAAATATTTATCTAATTTTTTTTGCTTTCATATTAAACTAAAATAAAAGGTTTTAAAACTATTAATATAAAAGATAATTTAAACTATGATGAATTTTTTAATAGTGAGAAAAAATACAGTAAAACTTTATAATCTAAAATTAGAATTATATAAGGTTTTAACTTCAAATTATTAGTTTTCTGTTAAATAATTAACAAATTAACTGAAATTTCTCTATAATCATGTTAATCAGTTTAAAGAATAAAAAATGATCATTTGAATAATAATAATCAAGTTTATAATATAAATAAAATAGAATAAATTCTGAATTTAAATTTATTTGAATCAATAATTTAATATTATTTATTATTTATTAATAAAAATTTAGTAATTAAAGATTGAAAATAATTATTTAAGTAAAATAATAAATAAATTATAAAATATGATTAATAATCTTTATTTAAATACTTAATAATTATTAATATTATTTACTAAAAATTAATAAAATAGATAAAAAAAATCACTAAAAATTTATCATCTCTATATATAATTATTTATGACAATTAGCTGATATTTATTATTTTCTTTATCTAATTTAACTTTTATTTAATTTATTTAGTATTTTACATTAATATTTTTCTTATTTTTTCTTTTAATTAAAATATTTTTTCTGATCTATACTTGTTTTTAATATTGTATTATTATCTTAAATATAATAATTTATAATATTATGATTAACTAATATTTCAAAATAATTATACAAGCTCTTTGCAATAGAAAGGAAGGAAACTACCAAAAAAAATTTTTTTTGAATTAATATTAAATCTAAACTTATTTTATTAAAAAAATAATATTTAGCTTATAAAACAAAAAAAAATTTTTTTGGTAGTTTCCTCCCTTTTTATTGCAAAGAGCCCATATACAGTTTTATCTAATATGATTTATGATACTAAAATTAAAGTAGGTATTATAATAGAAAAATGTGATTAAAAAACAAAAAATTTATAGAAGTTAAAGAAAGGTAGATTTTAAAATTTTATAAAAAAATTAGTATAATAGTAAGCATATGAATTATTATAAAAAGATCAATAAAAAAAAATATTCAAATTTTTTCAAACTTATTCAACCCATTCAAATATAAAAATAAAAATGTAAAATTTTTTTTAAATTTATATTTTTTTAATAATGTGTTTTTCATTTATCATATTTAAATTAATTATAGAAGAAAATAGTAAGCACATTAATAATACTAAAAATACATCAAATTGACAAAAAATAAACAAAAAAGGTAGTCCTAAAAAAGTTGAAGTATAAAAATATTTTATTGTAAGTGATGAAAAAAAATAATAGAGACTATCCTGTAACTTATTATTATTGTAAAAAGAAATGGCAAAGGGTAAACTGAGAACTTTAAAAGCTCACCTTTCTAATGAATATTTGCAATATCCTGAAGATATTAGCAAATTTTGCAAGATAAACTTTTTACTGAATTAACAAATTATATTTATAAACAAAAACCATAATTCAATCACTATTAAAATAATATCAAATAACTCAACACTTTAGTTCAGATAAATCTTTATCACTAACTATAACTAAGCAAATTGACTGATCATTATTAAAAGCATGAATAATGGTAGAAATTCCTTTTGAAATAATTGATAATCCTTTTATTTATGATCTATTTCAAGAACTTAATTTAAGATATACTCCTCCATCAAAAATAACATTATCTAGATAATTATTGGATCAAGAAGTTGTTTGAGTTTCTTTGAATATTAAAAAAGAATTAAAATTCTCAGATTATCTAACATTAAGTAAATATCTGAATTAATTTTTAAAAAATTTGTATTTTTTTTATTAAAAATTATATTGTATATATTATTAGTAGCATTATATAATTTTTATAAATAATTTTATTTATTTTTTTTATTAATAAATTTATTTTATATTTAATAAATTTTAATATTTAATTGATAAATATATATTTATAATATCTGTTATACTATTTTACTAGTATTAAATAGTAAATATCAAAGAAAAATGATTTATTATATAATTATATTATATCAACTCTTCATGAAAAGAATATTTGATTGCCTTAACAAATTATTCAGCAAAATCTTATACTGGTTTAATGCTTGCTAATGAAATTTCAGATATTATAAAACAAGTTAATTCAGAAAAATTTGCAGCCATCGTTACTGATACTACATCAACATGTTATATAATATAAGAAAAAATAAAGAAAATGTATCCTTATATTTAGGATATTAGATGTGTTACATATGCTATTAATTTAATAACAGCAGATCTTGTAAAATTTGATGAGATTTAAAAATTTATAGCAGATTATAGTAAAATTACAAAATTTTTAATAAATTTTATCAGGTTTATTTTATATTATGTCAAGATTTAACTCAAATGATGATTAAATCTGAAGGATTGTATATATAGATAAAACTAGATAGGGATCATTGATTATGATAACAGACTCTATTTAATGAGCATATTCTGTTTTTAATTAGATAAGTATATATATATTTAATAAAATAAAATATTATTATTATTAAATTTTTAATTAATTATTATAAATATTTAAATAATTCTTGAGTATCAGAATATTATTTCTAATATAAAAGTCCATAATTTATTAGAAAATGAAGAATTTTTTACTACATGTCAGCATATTCATTTAATTTGAGCTCCTATTAAAGAAAGTATTAATATACTAGAATCAAATATAGTAACTTTAGCTGATTGCTTTATTCATATAGTTAAGTTAGCAATAATAATATATCAATTACTTAATCTAAATCCATTCAAAATTTTAGCTATACATGTATTTAATGGTCATTATATTGAATTTCAGCATTCAGCATATTTACTTTATTATTTTATACATCTATAATATCGAGATTTGTATAATTTTATATTTTTTGTTATATATTTAAATTTTATTATTAATATTAATTTACTTAAATAGATTATAGATTATGCAATAAGAGATTCAGAGATGCTGCTTTAATTATAACAAAATTATGGCAAAGTCTTGATCATAATAAGCAAGAAAGTTGTAATTTAATTTCTTACTTGCGTTAATTAAAGCTCATTTAGCACCTTATGATCTACCTTATATTGAAAATATAGATACTCCTGAATTATGATAGAGTTCTATTAAACATAATTCTTATCATTTGCTAAACTTACACTTTGATTATTTGGAATAATTCCTTCTTAGTCTAGTTGTGAATAGAATTTTTTAATACTTAAATAGTTATTAGTGATTGAAGAACTAGATTAGCAGTACAAAAACTTGAAAATATAATCAAAATTAAATCATATTATTTAACTAATATCAAATCTGAACTTTTATATTATAGTAAGGAACTAATAAATAATGAATTAAAAGAAGTAGCAAATTATTCATCTATAGGAATAGTAATAACTTTAGAATCTGATAAGAAAGAATTAGTTAATGATTTTATTATTAATGATTCAAATGTTATATCTTCTAGAGATACTTTAATTTTAGAAGATATTATTGATTTTGCTTTACCAATTTTTGATGTTAATAATAATGAATTATATAGTAAAAAAAAAGGATCAAAATAATATAATTTTACCCTTCGATTTAAAATATAATCAAAAAGATTTGGTTAATTCTTTTCTTTAAGAAAATTTAAATTAATTTCTAATGGTTATTATATGTAATTTTTTGGATTTACTTTTAATAAATTTTGAAATAAAAAAGAAATTGATATATAAGTAATATGATGATATAACATATAGAATATGATACAGTATTTAGCTATTATACGTCATATGATATATAATATAACATATGGTATATGATATGGCATATGTTAAATAATACAGCATATAGCATATAAAATTTTAAATGTATATGTTATAATCTTTTTATATTTTATTAATATTATAACTAAAGTTATAACTTATATAAATATTTGTATCCTTAATAATAATAAATAATTAATAAAGATTTTAGTTAATTTTAAATATTTTTAGAGTTAATTATTTATATTTATTTATTATTTTATTTATTATTTTTGCATTTTTTTAGGTGATTTTAATGACCAATTTTTATATTTTTTATTATTTCATTTATATTTACATTTTTTAAGCAATTTCAAAAAATAACTTTTTAATTTTTAAATTTTTACATTTTTAATCAATTTCAGAATCAATTTTTTTTATATATATGATTTTTTTAAATAATTTTAGAGGTCTATTATTCTATTTTTTATTATTTTATTTATTTATTTAAGATAATAAAAATATTTTAGCAATAAATTTTTAGAATAATTATAGGAGAATTTAAAAGAAAATAAATCATATTTTTATTATTTTATCTTTTATATCATATTTTTTACTTATATTTAATAAAAATTAATAAGTATATTTTAGTAATATTTTAATTTATTTTTTGCAAATTTTATATTAAGTTTTTATTAAATAAAAATATACTGATTTTATATTGTTAACAGAAGAAATTACAATTTCAAATATCATGTGGAATCTGTTAATCAATAATGATCTCATGTTAGATAATGTCACTGCTGTGCCAAGCAGTGATCAGCAATAATTTCTATTTCACCTGATATGCTTGTTTCTTCTGTATTTTCTGTACAGTCTGTTTATTTTATTTACTCTATTTTGTTCATAATCTCTTTAATGTTTATAACTTATTTTATTTCTTTCTATTATTTTATAGTTTATATTATTTTTATTATTTTATTATATTTATATATATTTTTATTGAGACATATATCTATATTTAGTTAATTTATATCGTAACAAGTAGTTAGACATAGCAAATTAATTTTGTATAAATAAAATAGCTTTTTGGTTAAGTTATAAATTAACTCAGTTGTAAGTTTATAAATTCACTTGTAAGTTACTTATGAGTTCAAGTTATAAATAAAAGAATCAACTTAAATCCATATAAATTACATTTTTCTTCAACATTATCCTTCACTTAGGATTATTATGATACACTACACTAATTTGCTATTGAGTTCGTCATTACAAGTTTGACTAATATATTTTAAATTTTAAGACGTAATAAATTGCCAAGTTGATTCAAATATAACGAATACCTGTAGGACTTAGAGAAAATCCTAAGGTCAGAAACTCCAACATGTAGAATCAACTGCTGCAGCCTTTCAACTTAGATATTAAGATAAATAAAAACGAATCCAGTGATAATATGCTGTAATTGTCAAAACGCAAATTTTATAAATTTATGATATTTTTAAGTTTTATAGTTTTCACAAGAGTAGTATCTATTTAATACTTTTTTACCACTCTCTATTAAGAAAATTTTTATAAATTAATTTTTATTTATTTAAGAATTATTATTTGTTTTCTTTATTGAATTTTATTATGAATCACCAATGATGATCATCACTGATGTTATGTGACTTTAATTCTTACCAGTGTTATATACTTCTATGATTTAATTTTACTATGTATTTTTTGAACTTAGAATTTTTTACTATGAAAAACCTATTCATCATACTTATTCATTACATAGGTATTTTTTTGTGATTTTTAGAAAAATTACCCAAAAAGATTTTTTGTGAAATAGCTATCACTAAAAAAGGAAATAATCAATATTCCTATCCATAATTTCTATAATTCTAATCTGAATTACAAATATCATGTAATACCGGTGATGATCATTACTGGTGATCAATAGTAAACCTTTTCTTTATTAATATTTATTAAAATTATTATTTTTTATTTTATTCTTTTTTAATCTATTATTAATAATTTTATATTTCTTATAATTTCAATTTATTTTTTTTTTTAATATAATTTCTATTTTTTATAAAGTTAATATTTTACGTAAATGATTTTATAATCTTTTATTATTTTTTTTCTATTTTTATTATTTTAAATAATTTTCTTTTTCATATTTTTATTTCTATTTTATACTTTTTTTATTATAATATCTTTTCATTATTCTATTATATTCTATTCAATGCTATTTTAGATTTAATTTTAATCCTTCTATTTGATTATTTTAATATTACCTTTTCATTATTATTTATAGTATTTTTTAACATTTTTATTATTATTTATTTAGTTTATTATATTCATTTTATATCTAATTTATTAATTCTTAAAAGAAATTAAAAAAATTATTTTTTATATTATTTATTTTTAAAAAAATATTTGTTAAGATATTAAATATCACAAACTTCTCATTCAATTATACATTTAAACTATTTTATTAATAAAGGTAAAGTTAAAAATTTTGAATTTTATAAGAGTCTGAAACTTTTTAATTTTTTTAAATAATATTGATCATTTTCTAATTCTAATTTTAGATTTTTGACTGATATTACACAAAAAATAAGAGATTTTGATAGACTAATTGCTTATTTTGTTAATAAGATAATTGATTATAAAAATTTAATCAATAAAGTTCATATATTATATAATAATATGAATCAAAAATCTCAATTTTAGTTGATAGGTCCTGTAAGATAATTTTAATAGCTTAACCCTTATATTACTAATTCTATCAGATATAAAATTTTCTTATATCATAATATTATCTTATCCAAATTTAACTGTTAGTTTAACATAATGATTATATAATAGTTCTTCTAACTTTTTTAATAATACTCTTTATCATCAAATTCATAAATCATAAATTTTAATTCATCTGACTAAACCACTTTATCTTAATCTTCAACTGTTTATAATTTGTTTCTTTTTGCAAAATTTCTTCCTTACAATTCTATGTATTTTTCAAAGATATAGCTTTTTATACTTAACTTTTGCACTTATTTTATTTTTATGTAAAGTTTTTTTTTATTATATATATTAAGAAAGTATTTGCAATTTTGTAATTTTAGTAAATTTTTAATTAAAATTTGATTTTTAGTATATAAAATATTATAATGTTATATTGTTAATGATTTTTTAATAAAAAATATTATAATGCTAAAATTATTAATAAACTTTAATCATTTTATAAATTGAATATATTTAATTAAAATGTAAAATAGAAAAACTAGAGATATTGTTATTTTGTTAAATAATAATTTTAAAAATGCTCAAATTGTAAGATAAATGAAAATAACTGATAGTACAGTTTGTTTATTTATTAAAAATATAAAAAAAATAAGAAATATTGAAAATTTACTAGCAAAAATAATTACTTATTTATAAAGTAATAAAAAATAGACGTGTATTTTATAAGAACTATTTTAATAATAATAGCTAGCAAATATCTTCATAAGGCTGGTATTAAATCTTTATAATAGCTAAAAAGCCATTTATTTTAGATGAAAATTAAAAGAAATAATTTATTTAGTATAAAGAATATATTAATTAGAATATATCAGAATGGAATAATATTATCTAGTCTTATGAGTCAAGTGTAGAAATTGGTAAAAGTTCTCAATATAAATTAATATAAAAAAGTTAGTGAATAGTATAATTTAAACTATTTAAGATTTACTTTTAAAAGTAGACGTAAATCTTTTATAGTTATTTCATAAGTAATAGATTAGAACTATTAGTAATTTATGAAAAAGGATGCATAAATTCTGATAACTATATAAAAATTCTTAATGATCATCTTAAAGAATTTAAAATTATTATAGAAACTGAATTTGGCACTACTTTCATCTTTTAAAATAATAATGCCAAAATTTATACTAGTAAAAATCTCATGAATAGAAAGAAAAGAATATGATTAGATTGATACCTTGGCTAGCTTAATCATCAGATTTTAATCTAATAGAAAACCTTTGGAAAATTTTAAAAGGTAGAATTTAATAATATAAACTATTTTCAAAATAGCACAACAGTTAAAAATAACCTTAGAAGAAGAGTGGAGCAAATTGGAATCAAATACTTTATCTAATTTGATTAATAGTATGCCAAAGCAGGTTGAAATAGTAATTAAAGTAAAAAGTGAATATATGAAATATTAAAACATATTTTTAAGTTCTTATTGTATAAAGTAAATATATAAATTGATAATAAAACTTTAAAACTTGTTAAAGGTGTTTAATTAATTGTTTAATTGAATTTAAATTTAATTTACTATAAAATTACAAAATCACGAATACTTTCTTGGAATATTATACATTCACTAACTTCTATTTGTTCTTTTATTTTAATT